TGTATTATAATGTTGATACGCACATGAATGTTATGGGGGAGGGGGGCATAATTTTGAAAAGATAACTTTGCAAGTGTGCACCATCTTACAGCAAAAACAGCTAACTATGCAGACGACAAAAATGTATTACCGTAAAATCTCCAGCCATCAACTTAAAAACACCAGTGGAAAAAAGAATAAGATTTTGTTTTTAATTTTTTGTTGTTGTTGTTGTCCTTGTTTAACGTCTTATATATCGCTAGACGTGGTCACTTGGTGCTCATTGTCGCATGGTTCAGTTCAGAGTCAAAAAGTCTCTCTAGGTATTTAACTCTTGGTGCCTTGTGGTTGAGTGAAGCTTGAAGTGTCTTTATGAGAGCACATCAAAGCGGTGTGTACTCTCAATGTACCGGGAGAGGGCCAGGTACATCTTGTTGTTCGCTGCATCTGAAAGTCCTTCTCTCATTCCGGCTAGGGTGACGATGTCTGTGTCTCTGTTTTCTTCTGCTACGTTGTATGTCACGTGTATGCTGTCAGCTTCTAGTAGCATGTGATGTCTTTCGTTGTCATAGCGAGGGCAGTGGTACAGGTAGTGGTTGGTGGTCTCCGGGACGTCACAGTTTGGGCAGTGTGGTGGAAACTCAGGGTTTTTCCAGTTCTGATATGCATTAAGTCTAGTGTGACCGCTCACTAGCTGATTGATGGCTATTTTTTAAAGACTTGCATAATTTTTTATCTTGCCCCCCTCCCCCTCGAGCTCTCGTATTTCCTCAGAGGAAATTCGCAAAAATTATTTGCAGGGACGGTATAAAACTAAGCATAAACATTTACACATTATACTTACGAATCGTGTGTCTCTCTTGCCCATTTTGCTTCACTCGGGGCTTCAAATAATTACGGGAAATCGACGAACGACGTCGCAAACGCCACTATGCCTGACAGTCCAACATGGCAGTATTCTTCTTGGTTGCCTCACGGTCTCACAGCGACACCTAGCGGCTGCAATGATCTACCTTCACGGTCTCACAGCGACATTTGTCTAAATAGCGATTTGTCTCCAAACTGCAGGGTCATATTTATCCGTGGCTGACGTAACTATGACGTAACT